GTTCTCCAGTTGGAGATCCATGTGTCAGAAGGATGCAAAGGTTGGGGGCCTTACTGTGAATAGTGAGGGATGACAGCTCCACATCAACTTCCGGAAAGAAAAAACCAGAATAACTGCCCTGATGGACCTGCTGGCCTAGGAGGAAGCTGTAGATACTAATTCTTGAGCATATATATATATATATATATATATATATATATATATTTATTTATTTATTTTTGGCTGCGTTGGGTCTTTGTTGCTGCACGCAGGCTTTCTCTAGTTGTGGTGAGCAGGGGCTACTCTTTGTTGCGGCGCACAGGCGTCTCATTGCGGTGGCTTCTCCTGTTGTGAAGCACGGGTTCTAGGTGCACAGGCTTCAGTAGTTGTGGTTCGCTAGCTCTAGAACGCAGGCTCAGAAGTTGTGGCGCACGGGCTTAGTTGCTCCACGGCATGTGGGATCTTCCCGGATCAGGGCTTGAACCCCTGTCCCCTGAATTGGCAGGCGGATTCTTAACCACTGCGCCACCAGTAAAGTCCCTGTAGATGTTAATTCTTTTAGCCATTCTTTTCCTAAGTAGTCAGCCAGTCCCCATATCCTCCTTACATATGCCCTTCAGGTACGATGGGAATAGTAATTAGGATCCAACGAGGAAAACAGAAACTCTTCTCTGTATTTAAAACAGCGAGAACTAAATCCAAATGTTACTCTGAATTGGATCCTTGCACAGGAAAAGAACATTAGTGAAAAAACGGGTTAATTCCAAATAAAGTCTGTACTAGTTAATGATTGAATCAATGTTAATTGCTTGTTTTTGACAGATGTACTATGGTTATGCGAAACATTAACATTAGGGGAAACTGGGTGAAGGGCATATGGGATTTTTCTGTGTCTTTGCAACTTTTCTGCAAATCTAAAATTATGACAAGGTAGGTTTGTTTAAAAAATAAGTTAGCAAAGATCTAAACAAACATTTCTCCAAAGAAGACATAAAGATGGCCAACAGGCACATGAAAAGATATTGAACATCGCTAATTATTAGAGAAATGTAACTCAAAACTACAATGAGGTATCACCTGTCAGAATGGCTGTCATCACACATATATATGGAATCTAAAAATAAAAATGGTTCTGAAGAACCTAGGGACAGGACAGGAATAAAGATGCAGACGTAGAGAATGGACTTGAGGATACGGGGAGGGGGAAGGGTAAGCTGGGATGAAGGGAGAGAGTAGCATGGACATACATACACTACCAAATGTAAAACAGATAGCTAGTGGGAAGCAGCCACATAGCACAGGGAGATCAGCTCGGTGCTTTGTGACCACCTAGAGGGGTGGGATAGGGAGGGTGGGAGGGAGACGCAAGAGGGAGGAGATACGGGGATATATGTATATGTATAGCTGATTCACTTTGTTATACAGCAGAAACTAACACAGTATTGTAAAGTAATTATACTCCAATAAAGATGTTAAAAAAGAAAGAAAGAAAGAAGGAAAGAAAAGAATGGCTATCATCAAAAAATCTATGAATAATAAATGCTGGAGAGGGTGTGAAGAAAAGGGAACCCTCCTACACTGTTGGTGGGAATGTAAATTGGTGCAGTCACTATGGAGAACAGTATGGAGGTTCCTTAAAAAACTAAAAATAGAACTACCGTATGACCCAGCAATCCCACTACTGGGCATATATCTGGAAAAGATGAAAACTCTAATTGGAAAAGATACATGCCCCCCAATGTTCACTGAAGCACTATTCCCAATAGCCAAGACAGGGAAGTAACCTAAGAGTCCATGACAGATGAATAAAGAAGATGCGGTCCATATATGCAATGGAATATTACCCAGTCATAAAAAAGAATGAAATAATGCCATTTGCAGCAACTTAGATGGGTCTAGAGATTATCATACTACGTGAAGTCAGACAGAAAAAGACAAATATTATATCACTTACATGTGGAATCTAAAATATAGTACAAATGAACTTATTTACAAAACAGAAACAGATTCACAGACACAGAAAACAAACTTATGGTTACCAAAGGCGAAAGGAGGGGAGGGATAAATTAGAAGTATGGGATTAACAGATACACACTACCATATATTAAATAGATAAACAAGGATTTGCTGTATAGCACAGGGAAGTCTAATAATAACCTATAGTGGAAAAGAATTGAAAAAAAAGAATACGTAACACCCACGTATTCTTTTTCCATATATATATATATATATATATAAAACCAAATCACTTTGCTGTACGCCTGAAACTAACACAATATTGTAAATCAACTATACTTCAATAAAAAAATAAGTTAGCAGATACATATTTTCTAAAAAGAAAAGAAGGATCAATGGTGTTGACTGCAATAAAAATGCACAAAATGCACAGTGAGAGCTGTGAGGTTCTGTTTTATCTGGGGACATACTGAGGACTGTTGCCCATGAGACAGCCTCTCAGAGAGCTCTGAGGAACTGCTCCGATATCAGCATCTATGTGATCTTGGAGAAGGCGTACATGCCGTCAAGCACACGTCTACGTAAAAAGTTGCTGCTACTCACGAGGAACAGATACCTTAGTTAATGACTTTAGTGCTTTTCTAAGTACGAGAAGTTGCAAGAAATTGGGTTCATAAAATCTTCTCCTGAAAATATCTAACTCTCTGAAGGCCTGTTCTGCCAGCTTTCCCAGAGCACACAATGCCTCATTCCAGATCCCTGCCTTGAACACCCTTCAGGGTGTGTCGAAAGTGAGTAACTCCAGTGACTAATGACTCAATCCTTGTAGAGCCAGATAGAAAGTGACATTCTTTGGTTGGCAGTGAGCACCTGGGACCAAAGAGTATCGACCATAAAAATAAAATAGCCAGTTTCCTTAGCAGCAAAATGGTTTATTCGGGAATCGCAGAAAATTGCTATTTGGGACAGGCCAGCTCTGGTGGATCACAGGCAAGTCTAAAGAGATAAAAGGGAGGTCACCTCTTATCGGGTTTTAGGAGGAAACGGGGAAGGACTGTTTTGAACAGAAATTCACTGAAGAACAAGCGTTAGACGTTTGACATTTTCTCATTGGCTGGAAGCAGTGGTTAGAGCATTGTTGCTGGGGCACGGAAGGATCTTCCTTCTTTTTCTTAAAGCAGGGGATGAAATTCCCATGTAATTAATGTCCTCCCTTGTCTAAATAATTCTCATCTTCCTTCTCCCTACTGCGAGTGCAGGCTGCACCAAGTGCTACATGCCTGAGAGTTCCCCTTTCAGGGCTTCCCGGCTCCATTTTAAATGAGGTTACTTTGCTTATTTTCACAAAGGGAACAAGGAATCCTGGTGGTGATGGAAATCTTGACTATGATGGTGGTTTCACAACTACCAGAGCTCATTGAATTGCACGTATTTAATGGATGCAGCTGGTTGTCTGCAAATTATCCTTCAATAAACCTGATAAAAGCCACTAATGAAGATGAGAGAGAGAGAGAGAGAGACCAGAAAAACACGGATACATAGGGCTGGCTGGTGTTAATCAACGAGGGTGACCCCTGGACTTTATCCTTTAGCCTCTACCATCTGCAAGGCCATGAAAATAAAACTTAATGCATCACTGTCAAGGTGAGAGTCATGTTCAGCCTTCAACTTGACTCCGGGGAATCTTGTCTTCCTTTAATTTTTGACTACATAGCCTTGACTTAGTGTTCATTTCTTTGAGGCATTTAAGAAGACCTTTAAAATAGTCTATTAAGCAATTTTAGTTTTTAAAATAATTATTATTTTAAAATGGAGCATGGTCCACAGATTTAGTCTGAAATTTTGACAGAAAATCTAGTATATTTATTGTTTACTTATTAAGAATTCCAGGGATAGGCAGTCCCAGGGCTGGTTCAGCATTTGGGGACCTTCTATGAACCCTGGATCTTGTATTCTTTCCCCTCAGTTTGTTCAGTATTTCTGCTATTGTAGTCAAGCTTGTTGCCTCATGGTTGCAAGATGGCTGCTGCAGCTCCAGATATCACATCATCATGATATAGCTGCCCATGGACAGGAGAAAAGGAGGCAAAAGTCTTATGAGACTCTCTGTTATTAAGAGACAAATATGATTCCCAGAAACCCTGATATATCCTGCTTTAAGTATCATTGGCCATATATGCTCATGTGCCCCCTCTGGACCAATCACTGCAAATGGGATTGCTGGATTGCCTTAACCCAAATTTTATCCTCTGCACTCCCCCCATCCCTCAGCTCCAGGGTTGGAACATAGCCACTCAAACAGAACTAGGTTTCTGTTAATAAGGAAAAAGTGAGCATCGGCTGTTGTGTAGACATCAATGTCTGGCACAGCTACCCCCTGGGAGAAGCAGCTCTTGCCTGGCCTCAGGGGCAGTGGACGTGAGATTCCATGATGGGGCTCCTGTCCTACTGGGCTCCGTGTGCACAAACGCCCTCCCCATCCCTGGTCCTGCTCTTTATTTCAGCACCCAGCTGGGTGCCCCACCTGATCCCAAGCCCAGGGCCAGCTCCCAAGGTCTGTCTCCTGATCATCCAATCCCTTTAGGATTTTGCATGTGCTGATGGACCAGCCTCCCTTTCCCTGGTTCCCATGCCACTTCGGGAAGATAGGCAGAGAACCCATGTTAGTGAGATATTTTTAATGAGCTCAATACCTTGCTGGGAATGTAACATATATTGTAATATTAAATACCTGGAGGGGGCTTGGGGCTTCCCATTTTAAACACAAGGAGATGTCGGCATAAAGTGGTGTGACTCTTTGCCCAAGAACAGATGGCTATCGTGTGGAGCTGGGACCAACAGTCAAGTCAGTTTGCCGCACAAATCCGTGTTCTGCTCGCCCCACAGGTTGAGAATGAGGCTCCCACCTCAAGGGGTGCATCCAGAGATGAGTTCAGTGCACAGGGGGAACAAACAACTTTTGGAAGCCAGGCCCCACCTCTGTCTCGTCAGTGGGAAGCGTGGATGGGAGGGGAGAGAGAGCTCTTCCCCTTTGTGTGAGGCCGTTGATGTAGAAACCCCAGAAAGGGGCCCTAGCCACCACATCCTCTTCTCTCGTGTCGCCTACAGGCTCTCTCCTTCACTCACAAACTCCAGGACGGTGCCGGGGGCAGGGTCTGGGCCATGTCCCCCCGTCCCACCACCCTCCTGGGCCTGGGTGAGTCCTGGAATGGAGGGGTAGGAATCCAGGGGCAGAGGGGCTCTGCTTCCCAGCTCCGTCCCGACTCCAGCCCAGAAGACGCTGGGGCCCTAGCGGGGCAAAGTGGTCCCCCTCAGCTCTGGCCAAGACCTAAGTCTTACCATGGAAGGTTCAGTGCTGGAAATGGTGCCTGGGTATGGGGTTGAGTTCAGACTGAGAAGGGCTGGGGGGCAGGGAGGAACACCTGCTTGGAAGAGGGGTTGGGGGTTTGTCTTGAGACTATTTCAGAGCAAGGAGGGGGCTCGTACTCAGATGCAGTGTTGACCGGGGTGTCGGGAAAGTATGGGACGATGACCACCCCCTACCCCGCTGGCTCCTCAAGGCCCCCGCTTGACTGCGGCCCCATGAGGAAACCGTACAGTGGGCGTCTTTCTCACTAGAACTTCTCTTCCAGTGCTCTGTCTGGGTCACACGATGCACACACAGGCGGGTGAGTCTTCTCCCCAATCCCCTCTGCACCCCGCAGGCAGATGTAGCTGAGAGTGGAGCCGATCCTGGGGGCCCTGACATACACCTCGAATTGCAAACAACCCCCAATGTATAACCCTCGCCCAGGTCTCTCCCGCGTTCTCCCCCTCTGCTCTTGATGGCCCCCAGGGACGATTCAGATCATACAGACCAGGCTGAACCCACGAGCTCTCCCCGCACAAGCCCAGATCTCCCTCGGCAGCCCCTGGGCAGAGAACATGACCTCACCAAGGGCAGACTCAGAATCATCCTCAATCCCACCGTCTCCATCCTCCCGTACGGACTGTATCACACAATGATGTGGTTTTAAATGATCATTTAAAAGTTTTACTTAAAAACTTTAAATATCTATATAGTATATAATTTATCTTCAGGAAAACCGTAATCTTCCTTCGAGTCCTCTCACAGTTTACCTTCAGACAGACTGAGACCCACGCATCTCTCTTTGGTCTGGATCTGTCTGTCCCAATGCTGTCTGGCCCACTTATCTCAGTCACCTTGGTTTTCTTTCCCTTTCTAAAGGCCATCTTCCCACTCAGCTCCAGACCTCCGCACCACCCTGAATGCCCGGTGTCCCCTGTCCCTCGGCCTGGGGAATTCATCCCTGACTTCAGATCTTGGCTCAGATATCTCTTCCCTCGGACCTCCCAGAGGACAGCAGCTCTGCCTCCTGTCTGCCCCCGAGATTCCCACACTCACCCCGAGGGCATGTATCACCGTTTGTACCCGTGGATTTGCACAATTATTTGTCAATGGCTATCCTCTCTCTAGACTTTCAGCCCCAAGAGGGCAGGCATCCTGGGTGTTTCTCATATTTGTGGAACCAGTGGTACATGGAGGCATCAGTAAACAGATAGATGAGAGCTAAGGTGTGGTCAAAAGAAAGAAAGAGCGAACGAGTGACCTCTGCCAGCCCCCTGCCTCTATGGGATTTTGCTGAATGAGAGGCCAGCTTCCTGTTTCAGGGCTACAAACCCGCTCTTCCCCCTGCCCCCAGCCCAGTTGAGACATCTGGGGTTTCCAGAGCCTCAGTAATAAGGAAATGGGAATGAGCTGAGACGAAGGTAAAAATACAGAGAAAACCCAGGGATGAAAGCACAGAAGACTCGCATTGGACACAGAGATCCTCGCCTGCTGGGGAATGTGGGATCAGATCTGTGCTCCAGCTCC